GAGCTGGGATTCTGACGCTAATCAGTGTTTCCAAAGCCCACGGACTTAACCACCACGCACACCGCCGGTGCCCGGGTCCGCAGGGTAAGCAACACCAGAAAAGGCCCAGAGAGCTAGGAGCTCAAACACAGGGGAGGGGGCCCTGGCACAGGGGCGACGGGGCGGCCCTGGGATGTCCCCATGAGCGCGGCGGGCCCACGTTCAGAAGTGGCCCTGGGCCGAGCCCAGCCCTGCCCTCCGGGGACTCTGGTGCCGCCCTCGCCTGCGGGCGGGCGGGCATCCGCAATCGCTGGAGGGGGAACCAGAGGCGAAGCAGTCTGCTCGGGTGGGAACTCGGGGTCCCTGCGGGGCTCAGGAGCCGGGGCCGGGCTGTCCCTCTCTGCCTCCCCGCAGAGCCTGGAGAGCCCCCAGCTGTGCGGCGAACTTCTCACCCCGGCTGAGCTGGCGGAGTTCTCGCTGCATTATGGTGCCCTCCGATGGCTGATTCCGGAACTGCTTCGGTGTCTGTCACCAAATCCTCCTCCATTCTAACAGTTTGAGGGTGTTTTAAAAAGAATGAGGAAAAAATGTAATGTAACAGTGGTACACTGTAGGCTCGTCTCTCATTTCTCACCCCAAGATAACAAGCATCTCTGACAGAGAAATTTTCCCTAACGCAGACTTTCTTAAACTTGTCTATGCTATAAAAATGTACTTGCTTGTTAAAAATACACATTTCTGGGTTCCACTTCAGAAACGATTGACAAAATCTCCAGGGGCATGGCCTGGGAATCCGCATTTTAACAGGACCTACAGGCGACTAACAGAATAAAGCTAATTGGGGAAACTCGATTCTGGGCATCCACTGTGCTTCCACGTACAAACCAGCTTGCCATGCCGAATTTCCTGAAGAAGCCCAGTCCCCCACAAGGCCTCAGAGACTTGTCCACGCCCTTGAGAGGGGGTGGAGCACTGGGGAGAGAAACTGGCCTCAGAGGTGGAGACCTGGCTCTGCTACGACCCACTGCAGGAACTTAGGCTCATCATTAACCTCCAGTGTTTCTGCCTCCTCCTGTATAAAATGGAGCCAGAGTTCACTACATTAGATGGCTCATGAAATTAATGGCATCTCTGAGGAGTTACTGAATATTACAGCATATTTAGGAAAGTATTCAGCTCTCAGTGGTGTGCTGGATGGCTACAGGAGCAGATTGGGAAATTTTAGGAATTTTTTGAGCCAGTTATTAAACCTTTGATGGTAGCTTGAGATGGACAATGGTGGGAGTATTTACACCATGGAAATTGGCAAATGTCACAAATAAGGACTTTTCACCTGGAGATCCAGTTGTTAGCCATTTACCAGCATACCACTGAATACACAAGATGGTCAGACTCTTTTACATCCAAGGACCTTATGTAAATGGGAGGTTTTGGACCAACTGTAGGTCTGGGCCAGAGGAAGAGTGGGTCACAGCTTTCCTTCACCCACCGTGTTCGTGACAGCAGCAGGACTCAAGGTGCAGGCTGTCCTCCAAGATGCCTCAGAGTCACACATTTGATTTGAAGCCTTGAGGAGAGTAAGAGGCCTGGAGGAACGCCACATGCTACTTGCTCTGCTCCTTCATAGCCACGGGAGGGACTCAAAGGAGGACTTGCAAGTGCACCAGAAGAAGGGAACTGGTTTATCAGTGGTTTGGGGTTGGTGGTGGGATCTTAATTTGACCTTTTTAAATAAGGACCTCTATTTCTTCCTCTTGAGAAAGAAGCTACCTTTGTCACACATCATGGTGCTGAGGCCAAGTCCTGCAGAGTTTACCTTTATCTCAGAACTCACTGACTGTAAGCTGCTCTTTTGAGAACACTAATGTTACACTCTAAAACTGGATGTACAAGAGGCAGATTCAGGCAGTGCTGGTACATAGCAGCTGGGCACAGACAGGAGCATCAGGGAGCATTGCCCTACCCCCTCCATCCCAGCAAATATCCTTCCCTTCTCCAGCCCCAAGCCTTAATGTGCATGAGAAAGGTGAAGGAGGCTCCTGCCCTGAATCTGGTTCCAGGTTCCCTGGAAACTGAGAAGACAAACATGTTAAGCCATATGTAGAGCCAGCTATATACCTTAGATCCTTGGAGTTTGGCTGAGATTAGAACTGTCCTCTTATGAGGAAGGAGCCTTCATGACCCTTGAGATGATCAGTCAACCGCTTCTACCTACTTGCCTTGTGCAAAGACCTATGGGGAATACCAAGGCTATAAGATGATTTGAGCCATCAGGTAACAATCATGTGGAGGCTATCTCTCTCCAGCCACCAGACAAGTTCAATAATGAGGCAAGACAACTGCATGCAGGAAGGCAATGTAATTGATTGAGTTAGGAGTGTTATGAGTGCAGAGTTAGAGGTCTCTGTAAGATGGAGAGGACTGGGAAGGTTTCTGGATTAAGGGAGGACAAGGTTGAGCTACCCAGGGAAGAAGAAGGGATAATGGGTTGAACAAAGACTCCAGTCTCTGACAATTAAAGAGCACCCATCACTAGGCCAGTTTGGCTGGCGCTATGAGTATCAGGGATTAAAGGGAGGTCAGGTTGGCAAGGTAAGTTGAGATCATGATGAGGAAGGTTAAGTTTGACCTATGGGTAAAAGATGAGCCATTGAGAGTTGTATTCATTTTCTATTGCTGTGGAAAAAAGTATCACAAATTTAAGGCTTAAACTACACCCATTTTTTAATCTCACATTTTCTGTAAGTCAGATCTCTGTGCACAGTGTAGGTAGGTTCTCTGCTCAGAGTCTCACAAGGCTGAAATCAAAGTGTAGGCTGGGTTGTGTTTTCATCTGGAGCTTGGGGTCCTCTTCCAAACTCATTCAGGTCATTGGTAGAATTCAGTTCCTTGCAGTTGTAGGACTGAAGTTCCCACTTTCTTGCTGGCTCTCAGCCAGGGCTGTTCTCAGCTCCTGTAGGCCTTTTGCCATTTGCTGCCAAGTGATCCTTTCCAAAACATGAAAATTTGCTCCTTCACGGTCAGTGGGATGATTTCTCATGCTTTGAATCTCTCTGAATTCAGACATGGTCCAGGCCCTTATAAAAGCTCACCAATTAGGTCAGGCCCACCCAGGCTGATCTCCCTATTGATTAACTTAAAGTTAACTGATTAGTAATGACAGAAATGATATTATATCATGTACATAGGTTCAGCCAACATGCAACAGGACAGAATTATACAGGGCAGAAATCGTGGGGGCTGTCTTAGAATTCTGCCTATCTCAGACAGTTTTCAGCTGGGGAGGTGGGGGAGGGAGACTTGAGGAAATTACCAGTCAGGAGCTGGTAGCCATCATAGAGAGCAGCTAGTAGGAAAAGGATGGGTGGACAGATGAGGGAGACATCGTAATGGATAAACTTACAGGACCTGTGTTCCTCTGCCTGGAGTGTCCCTCCCACCCTTACTTTGTGGCTGATCCCCCTCTAACAGCCCTCACTTCCCCGCCCACTCTGTTGGTTTGCCCCTTCCTCACCTCCTTGTCTATTCTCTAACACATCACCCAGCTTATATCTTTCATGGCACTCTTCATTTTATATTAACATCTTTTTTTTTTTCTCATTCATCCGCTCTGCTCAACTCTAAGCTAAATGAGGACAGGGACAATGTCCGTTTTGCACATCTCTATATATCCAGAATAGAGCCTGACATATAGTAGGGACTCAAATACTGAATGAAAGGTTAAATGAATGAGTGAGCAAATATATGGAAACGTCAAGGGAGAGTCAAAAGGCCTGAGTATTGGGTCCGGATGTCTTGAAGAAAGGCAGACAGCAGAACTAGAACAAGGGATGCAGGGAGCTGGGGAGATCTGTTTCAGACACCTTGAGTTTGAGATGACTGTGGAACACCTGTCCAGGTAAGTTCAGCAAGCAGCTGGGTATATGTGTGAGGAGTTGCCACAGAAAATAAAACAATTTTCCATGAGAGCAAAGAGCACGTAAAAGCATGAAAACTGGATTTTAAAAAAGCCTCCATTGTATATTACTCATGTCTATTTTCAAAACCTCTGCTACTTGGAATAGTCATCAGTACAAGGGTTAGAATTTATATTAGGATACAAGCAGGGAGTAAACATTCTTTTGGGGCACCGTCCTATCACTGTCTGAAAAACTGTGGGGGATAGTAGAGGTGCCCTGACCAGCACCCAGCGACTTCAGAGTGGAGGTGGGTGACTGCAGGCCGGCTGTGCTGGGCGATCAGTCAGAGCTGGTGCAGAAGTGCCCTGCTGCCCAGCGATGCTGTGTTCACCTTCACAGTCTTCCTCCCTTTCTCTGTTCATCCCCCTCAATGAGTTCTTCATCTCGACCTTTCTGTTATTTTCACTCAAACACCCTTTTCTCCCTAACTTTCTCCAACTAAATTATTTTCCCCTGCCATATGTATCATGGACCGAAATTAAGGCTGTTGAGGCAGAAGTCATTTTATGAAGGTTTATGTACAGCCAATGTGAAGATCAACCTGAGAAACACAGACTAACAAAGTTGAGAAGTGCCCCAAAGTCTGTTATAAGTGAAAGATTTTATGGGAAAGTTTAGAAAAGGAAGAGGGACTCCCCACACTGGCGTTGTCCAGTTTTCATTGGTGGGTAAAGTGCAGAGGTTACAACTATTGGTTACAGATTACAGCACATCAGCAAAACATGTCTACGTGCAGGACAAGCGTCTACGTGTAGATGATGCTTTGGCTAATCTGAAAGATAACTTGGTGGCTTACTCAGAGTTAAGTACATTAATTGGTACATTAACAATTTTAAGAACTTACATGAATTCTTCGGTTAAGAACAGGATGTTTCACCCAAGTCACAAGGCCCCCTTCAAGGCAATTGATGTTTTTGTTAGAGAACTGCTTATGTAGCTGAGTCGGCTACAGGTCATCAGTATCAAACTGATTATTTCTAAAGTAACCTCTTTTGACTTGTCATTTGGACAGTTCCCCGCGCTATCTCTTCATGCCTATCCTTACTCCCCTTCCTTTTTCAGGTACACCGCGGTGGTCATGCCAGTTCACTACCAGCATGGCACAGGACAGAGCTCCTGTCGGCGTGTGGCCCTCATGATTACAGCCGTCTGGGTACTGGCCTTTGCCGTGTCCTGCCCTCTCCTCTTTGGCTTCAACACCACAGGTAACAATGATGGCTTCACTTCCAGCACTCATTTGATTCACAGCACACCCAAGTGGCTGCGAGTGGTACCCAAACCTGAGATTTCTGACCCCTGGTCTGTGTAATTTGAAATCAAATGAGGATGTATAGACTGCAAAGCTCTGGCCTTTGTTGGTTATGAATAAAATATAAAACAAAACCTCATCAATCGTTGGCACAGGGAGAAAGTTCTGCCCCAATTAATGAAAAGTCTGGCTCATTCTTATTTTGAAAGAAATGTCATTGTACTCATTTGTATAAATGTACCAGTTAAAAAACCAAGCCAAGTGTAATTTGAAATCAAATGAGGATGCATAGAATGCAAGGCTCTGGCCTTTGTTGGTTATGAATAAAATATAAAGCAAAACCTCATCAATCGTTGGCACAGGGAGAAAGTTCTGCCCCAATTAATGAAAAGTCTGGCTCATTCCTATTTTGAAAGAAATGTCATTGTACTCATTTGTATAAATGTACCAGTTAAAAAACCAAGCCATATTAATAATTCAGGTGAGTTTTGCTAATGAAAAGATGACAACTTATAACAGACTTACAGTGCAAAATAACATAGCATAAAAGTCCTGGAATAGGATATATATTTCTAACTTTTTACTCAATAAGAATCATCTCTGGCACTTGGGAACTAGTATAGATTCCCAAATTACTAGAGCATGTATTTTTTATTTTTCATATACAGAAATTCTGGCTACAATGGTTGGCACATGCTACATATTCTACTGGAAGGATGGATGGATAGATGGATGAACAATCTGAGATGCTTTGAATTTTAAGCATATGACACCAATCTATAGTTACACCACATATGGATCAGTGCCTTCTGTGTCTGTACCATGTTCATCTTTCAGCCTCAGGAATTTCATGTGTTGAATGAAAGTTATTAACACATATAGTAAAGTTATGGTTATTGACAATATACACTGAGTGTTTGCTAAGAGAGATCTGATTGACTAGTGTTCTAGTGTTCATCTGGATTTCTTATTCTGTCCATTAGGATTCGTTAATTCAATTCCTACTATGTTCCAGGTTCACAAATTTCTGGTATATATGTACTAGTCCCATAGCCATGTGCTTATGTATGCAGATATTACATGTAACATATTACATATAAATACAGACAAATCCTAACTTGTCTTCCACGTGTCATTTTCTGGACAATAATCTAAAAGTCAGAACATATATAGGAAAATAGAGACTTTGGAGTCAGAAAAACCTAGATGCAAATTCTAGCTCTACTACTTACCAGCTGTGTCTCCTTGAACAAGCTACTTAACTATTCTGAGTTTGGTTTCCTTACTGGGAAATTTGGGATAATAATACAGTGGATCATAAACTTAAGCAAAGTCAAATATATAGACTCAGCCTATATATTTAGTTAGGAAGTTTTCAATATTTATTTCTATCTATGGCCCCCTACAAATAAGCCCAGCAACTTCACCTCTAAAATTACATGTTTTATATGAACTCTATAATATATGACACATTACTATATGTATCATACATCTTTATTTATTATGGTTCAGGGTTATAATAAAACTCTGTATATCTTTAAATGTGATTCAGGGGATTTTCAAAGCAATTTTTTTTTTTTTTTTTTTGGTCTTTTTTCGTGTCCGGCAACGGATCACAACCCTCAGTGTCGCGCCCGGACCGGGACCGGCACAGGATCGCAACGCTCGGTGTTGCTCCCGCACCTCGCTCAGCCAGTGAGCGGAAACCAGTCTGTATGTGGGATCCGAACCCTCGGCGGGAGCGCCACCTGGCTCTCAAGCGGCGCACTGTAGCAGTGCGCCACCGGGCCGGCCCTCAAAGCAAGTTTTAAGCCTATGTAATTTTCACTTTATTCATTGACTTCAGAATCTAACCCTACATATGCTATAACTCCACTCTACCTCCTTCACAGAGACTCTGCAATTAAATGAGGATTAAGTTGGGAAAACATATGTGGCACATACCACGTGCTCGAGGTCAGGCTTGTTTCTCTGCCACATTCATAGTTAAGTAGCCAAGTTATCAACAAATATTTGCCTGGTTCACCCAGGGTGTTCCTAAAATATGATGTTGTTATCATCTTTGCATTGCTCTTTACCATTCATTATTTGTTTGTTTGTTTGTTTGTTTGTTTGTTTTGACCGGTAAGGGGATCACAATCCTCAGCTTTGTGTCATCCGCACCACGCTCAGCCAGTGAGCGCACCGGCCATCCCTATATAGGATCCGAACCTGCAGGCTTGGCACTACCAGTGCTGCACTCTCCCGAGTGAGCCATGGGGCCGGCCCATTACTTGATTATTTTAATGGAATAACACTTTATACACATAAACACGCTTGCACATGCGCACATTGCAAAGCAACATCTAACACAGCTGTAGAGGCTGGCTCTGTGGCACTAAAATACCCTTTTTGGTGAGTGTTAAATGCTTCATGGGTCAGTCAGATAACTAAGTCCCCTTCTATAACCGTGTCTCTACATGAAAATGCACTCTAAGTTGGAATTTGTAGTGAGGGGCACTTAACAAGCACCGCTCAGCCCGGGCCTGCTGCACATCCCACTACACTATAACCGTGTCTCTACATGAAAATGCACTCTAAGTTGGAATTTGTAGTGAGGGGCACTTACTTAACAAGCACCGCTCAGCCCGGGCCTGCTGCACATCCCACTACGTTTGCAGGGCTGAGCGTGGTTCCTTTTGCTCATTCTCGGAGGCTGGCGGGGGCGGCCTGGCTCACTCTCACAGACACATACACCCTGGCAACGGTTGAAACAGTCTCAAAATCTGACATTAGACAGACTTGCCAGCTAATGTCAACATCTAAAGTAAAGAAGAATGATGAGCTAATGGCAACGTTGTTGCCACCAGTGAGATCATTATTGTTCCAGAAACAAAACTCAGAAAATCTTTCCAAAAGGATTTTCAAATATAGAATCGAGAAGGCAAAAGAGGCTTGTGACTTAGCATGTGCGCTCTCGCTTCTCTCTCGTCTCTCACAGTCTGTCTTACTTTTAAGTTGATGAATTAATAACACCGCAGTAAGCCCTCCCATTATTCACATACTGTGTCAAAGTGTCAGGTCTGTTTTAAGAGCCCCATAAATATTAGCTGGTGTTATTGTTGTTATTATTTATTAGAAAAGGTTTCTGGGCCTCAGAATTTAACCACGTATCTGCTTCGTGGAAGATCTAAGCAGTAAGTAGTTCTGCTGGTGGCTGTAGAGGAGATGAGTTGCCTCCTTCTAGAACTCAGTTCAGGGAATAGGAGAGCAGAACACAAGACGGGAAAGCCCTGCCATCCTTCTCGGCCTCAATCTGACCTTCATGGTACAGCTTCCTTATTCTGATAGATGTGGGTTTCTCCAGCACTTCTCCCATCTTTAAGGAATTTCCCAAGTGCATTCAAAAGCCTAATACAAATGGATTCTCTCAGCCATTTTTTCTACTCCCCGTGTGGAATGTAGAGGGAAAAGGCAGGATACTGCCACTAACGCCCCACGCTGGAAGCAGCTGGACTTTCACTAAGAAGTGCAATGCGATAAAGAAGTTTCTGGCAGAGCTGTTCTTTTAATGACATGGGCTGACTCATGCGATTATGAATTGTTAGAGAACATAAAATAGAGAAAAGTGGAACTTCAGTCTCTTCCAACTTGGAGTTGCTCCTGTTCTCTGAGGAAAGAGTAACATAAGGTGGGATCTCAGCTCACAGAGAGTTCCAAGGTTGTGGGGCCTGACTGACCAGAGCTGCCCCCGCTCCAAGCAGAGGCCCAGCAGTCTAGCCAAATGTCACATCATCAACAGCCCCTACTGACAGCACAGCATGGTATGTTGATGCTAGAGGAGACCCTAAGGATCCCTGAATGAGTAGCCCAATCCTTTTATTTCATTGATAAGAAAAAGAACTTGTATTTAAATTTCTGCTAAATCAGATAGCTATTGTGTTATAAAAAATAATTCTAGAATAAGCAATAAATGGTGACAGGATTTAAGAAAGCTTCGAGAGAAAAAACTTAAAGTTAAAAAGATTCTATCAGCTAGCTTGATTTTCCTTTGAAAAAAAGAAATGGAGGAGTGCTATTTATTTGATTTTTAGCAATAGAACCCCTCAGCTGGCTTTCAGAACACTGGAGCCAGGGACCTTGGTTGCTAAAAAGTTAAAAGAATAATGAAAGCACAAAGTTAAAAGAATAATAAGCTCATCCTAAAATCAGATTCATCAGCATCTCCTGTCTTTTAAATCAAATTGGGCTCAAATCCTTCAAGGAGTTTGAAGTTCACAAATCTTCCAAGTCAACCTGCTATGACCTTGCTGTTTATGTCACTATGGGGCTTGTTCCCAGGCTGGCCCACAAAGCCTCTTAGACCCCTTAGTAGAGCTCTTTAGTGTTTTTATTATGCAGCACAGTGCTTTGAGCACAGTAGGTGCTCTATAAAGGTTTGTTGAATGAGTAAGTAGATGAGTCTTCATCATCATCCTTTCCTCCTTCGATGCTGAGATTAGTTGGAATAAGCATCTTCAATCTCCGAGAATGAGGAGTAACACCCCACCCCCCAACCCCACCCCAACCTTCCGCGTTGTCCTCCGGCCAGTGAGTGCTGATGTGCTTATATAAAATGCTAGTTTGTACATTTTGCTCATTTATTCATCGTTCATATATTCATTCAATAGCTATTGTGCTGACAGCGCAGTACTGTTTTGGCTAAATCATCAAAGCGAGGCCCTGCACCTGCTAGGAAAGCCTCAGCTTCTCACAGGGTGGGGAGCTCACTGCCCTCACCACCTCTTCAGGACTCAGCAGAGAAGCTTTCTGAATTGCTGCTGTGTGGTGCCTCCCTCTGCCCTGCGGACAGTACAGACCTTCTGGGGACTGGGCCAGGGCCGCACTCATTGGCCACGTGTCCCCAGTGTCACTCTGCTTGCTACGCAGTCACAAGACCTCATAGCATGGGGAAATTCTGGGAGAGGCTGCAAAGCTCGGTCTAAGGATGGGCAGCGGTTTACTTAGGGAAGTGATGACAGTGCAAGTTCAGCAATTACATATGAGGGTCTTCATTGATCAGAGACCCTAAAATAGCTATGTGCCCCCTCTTCACTCTCCTTTCTCATACACATACTTTCAATATTTTATTTTGCACATGACAAAACATCAATAAGGTGTAATGAGATACATACATGGTTATACGTAGGTCTCCTTCCTACTGCAGATTGCTAGTTCCCCCACCTCCCTCCCTAGAAGCAAACACTAGTATTCTTGAAAGATAATGCTTGAAACAAACACACACGTGCACGTGCACACATGCATGTGTATGTGTAGCCATTTTTACACAAATAAAAGCATACCACACCCACTTCTGACTCTGGCTTTTTAAAAGTCGTTCATATATGTAAAATTTAGAGGTCAGCCTCCCAGAACCCAGAAGAGGGTAGAGGAGCATAGAGAGTGTGTGTGGAGGCACAGAGGGGGATGCCAGCACACAAAGGATGGCCACAAGGTGAGCGGTGGGAAGACAGCCCGGCCAGCCCTCTGGCCCCTTCCCACGGCAAAGCATGCTGAGACCCCCTCATTAGAGGAGGCATTTAAGTCATAGTCACACACTGACAACAGGGGAGCTGATGGCAGGGGAGGGATAACAGTCACACACTGATAACAGGGGAGCAGCCAACATGGCTTAAAGATTCAGAAAGAGCACCCGCTGCCACCCCATCCCTCCCCTCAACTCCATCACCCCCAGAATGCCAGAAGATGTCACTTTGGTGACCACTACTCCAACCTTAAAAGCCTTTCCTAAAGGATGTTGATGCAGGCTGTGGTGAGATGACATGAATTTTACCTGAATTTTACCCCTTTACCAAAAGAACCAGAGAATCTGGCAGTAGTTTATAAAGATTCGGAGGCAGCGTCATCATAAAAATGACTCACTCACCACCAAGCACACTCTTTCTTTTCATTTTAGTTCTTAGCTATCACTCCCTTCCCTCTCCCACAAACACTGATCCCTTCAAGGCTCTCTCCAAATTTCCATTCCAAATAATACCTTCCCTCTTCAGTTCAAAAGCTCAGAGCACACTCTTTCTTTTCATTTTAGTTCTTAGCTATCACTCCCTTCCCTCTCCCACAAACACCGATCCCTTCAAGGCTCTCTCCAAATTTCCATTCCAAATAATACCTTCCCTCTTCAGTTCAAAAGCTCAGGGAGGAAAATGATAAATAATTATTAGCAATAATAGTAAATAATAATAATAGTTATTGTTTGTTCTCATTAATCCTCACAACCATTATACAAGACAATATTTTTATCCTTCTTTTTCAGGTAATGAAACCTAGTTTGGGCATAGTAATGTGCCCAAGATCACAGTTAGTAAATGGCAGATCTGGGTCGTGAGATCTTGGGCTCTCTGATCTCTACCTACCTCAGAAGACCAAGAAGCAGAATGAGGGCTGATGTGGCCACTGCCCTCTCCCCACCAGCTTAACACCTGAGACTGTATCTTCTAAGTCCAGATTTTGGGTTGGAGAATCCCCAACCCTTTATGAAGACTGGCCAGCTGTGCCAACAGTTGTTGCTGACAGTGCTGGACGAAATGCAAATGTGCCATGTCACAGTGGCAGGGGGAGGGTGTATTAGTCTGTTTGTGTTGCTATAACAGAATACCTGAGACTGGGCAATTTATAAAGAAGAGAGGTTTATTTGGCTTATGACTCTGAGACAGCTGCATCTGGTGCAGGCCTCAGGCTGCTTCTACTGATGGCAGAAAGCAGCAGGTAACCAGTGGGTACAAGCAGATCACATGGCGAGGGGAAGCAAGAGAGGGAGAGAGAGAGAGAAGGTGCCAGGGTCTCTTCAAACAACCAGCTCTCACTGGAACTAATAGAGCGAGAACTCACTCATTAGGAGGAGTCCCCCCTCCCCTAGGGAGAGCATTAATCCATTAATGAGGGATCCACCCCCATGACTCAATCAGTTTCCAACACTGTCACATGGAGGTCAAATTTCCACATGAGTTTTGGAGGGGACAACACATCCAAACTCCATCAGAGAGGGAGAGTCAAAATTACAGGAAAAACATTGGTTTGGGGGTCAGACTGGCTGGGGAATGTATCCTTCAGACTGCACTGCCTTGGGCTGCTTGCTGAGCCTCCCTGAGCTTTAGTCTGCTCATCTGAGAATAGAGGCAGTAATGGCACCCACCTCACATAGCACTGCCTTAATGATTAGGTAAGATAACGTGTACAAAGCCCTTGGCTCATCACCTGGCAGATATTACCTTACTTCCCTTTTCTCTTTCAAGATGGGACAAGTTTAAGTCCCCATCCTGGGCATTGGAGGAATCTCAACTCCTGCTAGTGAAGAAGGCAAAACTTTAGGGACCTCCTAAGGTGGAGTGGCAGGAGCACGTCAGGTTATAAAGCAGGGACAAGGACCCTTCTGAATTCACATTCTCCACAGTGACAATATCATCACCAGCCCTCTTCCCAATCCACCCATGACCAGTGCTGGGATTCCCTTAAAGAACAAATGCCTGTCTTGTATTCAGCCGCCACCTGCCCCACATCCGAGATTCAGAACCGGAGACCTGGCATTCTCAGCAAAGAAGACTTCTTCCTTTCATTGCACTCCGACAGCCTCTAAGGTTTCCACACCAACAGGCCCTCTTCTGGGGGCTGCATCCCTCCCAGGAGCCTCCGTCCTGTGAAACTCCCTCCCCCTGCTTGCCTCCAGCCTCCCGGGCTGCATTCCCTGTGTGACATGTACCACATCATATGGAAGGGGTCATCTGTCTATCTAGACTGTTTGCTCCTTCAAGGGCAGACGGTGTCTTACTCATCTTTGCAGCCCCAGTGCAGAGCAGTGTCTGGCATATAATCATACCACATCATATGGAAGGGGTCATCTGTCTATCTAGACTGTTTGCTCCTTCAAGGGCAGACAGTGTCTTACTCATCTTTGCAGCCCCAGTGCAGAGCAGTGTCTGGCATATAATCATTGGTAAGTGTTTTTTTAAGTGTACTGTGAGAAACACAAAGATGAATTACCCTTAAGGAGCTGACAACATAGGTGTCTGTGACTGCATCCCCCTCCTCCATATGCATTAGAAGGTAGAGACACCGCACAGGATACAGGGCCATGTTTTGTGCTCCCTACTGAAGTGTAGGACTTGGCAGGCTGCTTTACCTTCTCCCCTTCTTTCACCCACAGGGGACCCCACTGTCTGCTCCATTTCCAACCCTGATTTTGTCATCTACTCTTCATTGGTGTCCTTCTACCTGCCCTTTGGAGTGACTGTCCTCATCTATGCCAGAATCTATGTGGTGTTGAGACAAAGGAGACGGAAACGGATTCTCACTCGACAGAACAGTCAGTGCATCAGTGTCAGGCACAGCTTCCCCCAACAAGTAAGCACTCTGGAGGGACAGAGGGAAGATAATACCCCACCCCCAGACCTCCCAGCCTTGTGTCCAGCAGCACATGATTTTTCCTGTATTGCTGCAGTGGAGACACAGATCCTCCTTCTAATCTGCTGGTATTGTCTGTGCATTGAAGGTAGGAAACCCAATCTCAAGAGTGCATTGGTAGTCTTCCCTAGAGCCCACTTAACTGGGCAAGATGATAGGATAGTTTCTGGGCTTGTTGTACTTCCCTTCAAAGTCTTTCATTTCCCCCAATGGCCAGCAGTTCAAATGTCCCACAGGTTTGAGGTTTTGGTGTGGCCTTGTTCCATAGTGGGCTCCCAGAATCAACTTTTTGTCCAAACCACTCATTCCAAGAATCATTGGAGTCTGTTGAAACCTTTTTTCCTTACTAGATTTGTCCCTGTGTCAAGGCACTGACCAGCTGGTGGAACAGAATACCGATGATGCATTTTATTGGGTCTTTCTAGGCTCTGAAAAGGAAGACTGTTGTCTTAGCACTGATCTTCCCATTGCTTGGGCTTTAAATTCTGCTTACCCTTGGCACATAGTAATTAACCCATGATATACTTAAAGCATGAATGGATTAATACTGATCACTTGTAATCTACTAGGGAAGGGACAGCAGGAATATTATACAGTGCCTGCCTTCATGGAGCATAGACTCTACACAAGCAAACAAAACACACCTTTGCCCAAAGTTAATGAACAGCCCAGAACTGAATAGGATGTTTGCCAAATGTGAGACAAAGATAATTAAGCATTCAGATATGAAATGCTATGGAGGTTATGAGAAAAGAAAGACCTACACGCTCAGAAAGGGCTTCATAGACAAAGTAAGAACTGAGTTTGATCTCAAAGGCAGACCCAATGCAACTGTCTAGGTCAATCTTTGATGACCTGAGTGAAGGTCAGACTCTCAAAGTTGAAGTCCCAAGTGTTGGGTAGAATAAGAACATTGGTCCCCATGAAATAGGAGGGCAGGACCCAAGGCTTAGGATATGAAAACATTGCATTCAAAGCATTGTCATGTTACATGGTTACGTATGACGTGGCTCAACTACATAGAGCTTAACCCACAACTGACTTTTTCTCCTTCAACTACCCTAGTCTTCTTGTCTACAGCTGCACCCCATTCAGCAGTTTTCAGTAAGGGCCAGATTTCCATCAGATGCCACAGGAAAAATAGTAAGTAGTCCACATCTTTGATTATAGGAAAAGAATAAGAGACCTTTTGTAGAGATGCTGGCTTGTCTCGATTCTGCTCCCACCCCAAAGTGAAATCTAGCCCCAATTCTCACACATATACCTGTAGTATACAACAAGATCTGAGATTCTGCCCAATTTAATCTTCAAAATAGAATTCACCAAATGGTATTCAGAAAGCATCTGACTATTGAATTAGATCCCAATGACTGGAGCCAATGACTCCTGGATGTGATATGAAGATGCCATCCAGAGCCTCCTGCATCAGAGGAAACAGGATAGCAATGAACCATACATGGACAGAGCCCAGAAGAGCAGAGAAAGGAGACTTTCAAGTGCTTGTTTGCCGTTGAATGTGGGTACAACCAGACAATTTCATGGTCACCCTGAAACTTGTCCTTCCAGTTCAAGCCATCTCTGCCTCCTCCAGCTGGCAAAGTGCAGAATGGAGCCTGGAAGTGTTAAATATAAGACCAGCATTCCTCTTCCTGAACTCCACATTAGGAATAAAACTTCAAAACCCCATGAAGAAGGTGTGAGCCTTGTCCAATCCCTCTAGTTAATTAACCACTTTTCACACAGGCCTGATGTAGCAATTAGAGGCTCTTGCTGTAAATGATGAAAGACAGGTAAGCAGCTTAACGCAGCCTGTGGTAGGATCCAAGATCTGATGGGGCTGCAAGGTCAAAAGGCCTGTGGAGGATTGGGTTCTGTTCTGCCATCTGGGAGTGGAGGGCTCTGCCAGCCAGACCCAGAGGAATCCGGTGTTTCCTCATGCTAGTCCTAGAGGTAGTGATAAGGGTTTGCAGAGAGAGCTGAAAGTACACTTGTCAATATATAATTGTGGAAGAATCACTTTCCTCCTATACAACTGAATTTCCACATCTGTAAAATGGAAACAGAATGTACTAGATCAGTGTTCTCAAATCTGAAAGTTCATAGATACTCCGAAGAATTTGTTCCCACTCCCGTAGTTTCAGAAATAATGCATTAGAAGTTAAATATTGTCACTTTTAGAAGATTAATAGGTGCCAGCTTAATCATAAACATAACCTTGGTTATAAATTGTCATTCAGATAAAACAGAATATGCTTATATTAATTATTAGAAAATCCCACCAAAATGAACACCAAAAAATTCCTAAAATATATTCTCCTAGAATCTGTAAGAATATCTCTGTGGAGCACAGTTTCAAAAACACTTAATCATCTTGAAGACCCCTTGCATTTATTCATTCATCCATTCAAGCATGTTTCTGAGTGTGTGCAAAGTGCCAGCACTGTGTGTCTGGAAGACTATGATTCCTGAACCAAGGAGAGGGAAATGAGGGTTTTGTTTGCTGACACTGACTAACTTAGGTAGGAATTTACTGCAAAGCTGTCAGGTAGCTCATGGCCTCAGTGAGAAGGTTGAAGAAGAGTTTCAGAAGATGCTGTTCATGCCTAAGGAACAATCTGGATAGAAGACCTAAGACACGGGGCATTGTATTTCACCTGCTAGATGAATTCTGAAGTCTCACTGCTTCACTAGTTACAATCCAAAGTCTCAGGAGTGAATCTCCTCAATTGGCCAGGCTTGGTTCATGTGCCAGGGCTCTAGCTGTGTGGGGGTGAAGGGGGGTGCGAGGGGGAGGGTGTGGTGTGAATATCTGCCTTTTATGGCTTCAGTAATGGGAGTTGGGGAGTCCTGCCCCCTATTCAAGATTGACATAAGTGTCTGATTTTTCCAGCATGGAAAGAAGTTCAGATGTTGGGCACCATACACATACCCTGCACCCCCCAAAAAAATACCAGAAAAATTTGCATATCTTTAGATTTCTTCTCTCAGAAGCTGTGTGGGGGTGAAGGGGGGTGCGAGGGGGAGGGTGTGGTGTGAATATCTGCCTTTTATGGTTTCAGTAATGGGAGTTGGGGAGTCCTGCCCCCTATTCAAGATTGACATAAGTGTTTGATTTTTCCAGCATGGAAAGAAGTTCAGATGTTGGGCACCATACACATACCCTGCACCCCCAAAAAAATACCAGAAAAATTTGCATATCTTTAGATTTCTTCTCTCAGAAGCCTACTTATCCCAAACCCATTTTTCTCAATTTCTTTTCTGTTTACAAATGAGGCTCAGAGACATTAAATTAACTTGCCCAAGGATATGTCTACTAAGTAGAAAAGTTAAGAAGAAATCCTGGGTTTTCTTTTTCTTTTTCTTTTTTAACTTTCTATTATGAAAAATTTCAAAAATTAAAAAAGCAGAAAGACAAATATAACAAACCCTCTAGTGGCCATCAGATAGCTTCAGCAATTATCATCTCGTGGTCAATCTTATTTCATCTACACTCCCACCTACATACAAACACCCACTGGATTGTTACAAAACAAATCCCAAATATCATATTATGTCAGCCAAAAATATTTCTGTAAGATCCTCTAAAGGGTACAGACTTTTTATAAAGCACATAACCACAAACAACATCACACTAAAAAAATTAATAATAGTTTCCTAATATCAAATAAATGTTCAATTTTCCCCAATTGTCTTGGAAATTTTTTATACTTGGTTTGGTTGAGTCAAAATTAAGATAAAACCCACACTTTACACTGGTAAATACTGTCATTGTTGTTGTTGTTGCAATTTATTTTTTGAAGAAACTGAGTCATTTTTCTTCTAGTTTCCCATGTTCCAGATTTTGCAGCTTACATCCAGTGGTGTCACTTATCGTGTTCCTCTGAATAGCCAGGTCATTCTAACTCAAGGCAGAACCACCATCCTGTGCTACCCTCCTCAAGAGATTGTTGCTATTATCAAATGTTCTCTATGTGGTAGGTGCTTTTTAGGTGTCAATTCAGAAGCAGAATTAATTTCCCTTAACTTCCCATGGTCCCACCGCTCTCTCAGATGTTCCCTCTGTAGGGTTCACACAATGTTGTTTTCCTCTTCCTTCTTTGCATTCTCTTTTCCCTTCAGGAACATTCAGAAGATAAACAATATCCCCAGAAATATCAGGACCCTCTCTTGTCACGCCTGCAGTCCCTGTCTCCTGGACAGGCACACATGGAGCTGAAGCACTACTACAGCATCTGCCAAGACTCCGCCTTGGGGCAACCACGCTTCCAAGAAGAAGGAGAGTTGAAAAAGGAGGAGAGGACTTGGAACTCCTTGAGCCCCACCATGGCACCCAAGCTCAGCTTAGAGGTTCGAAAACTCAGTAATGGGAGGTTATCAACATCCCTGAAACTGGGGCCCCTGCAACCTAGGGGAGTGCCACTTCGGGAGAAGAAGGCAACCCAAATGGTGGCCATTGTGCTTGGTAAGTTTGGGTCTGCTTGAGTTGGATTGGGTTGGGTTAGGTTGTGTTAAGTTAAATTAGGTAGGGCTGGTAGAGGGTGCTAGGGTAGCCACTTTTGACAAAAATTGGAAATCCAATAACAGTTGTACTCATGAAATGCTTATAGGGCAATTGGAAAAGGATTGTGTATAAATATTAACCCTATTGGAAACTCAGAAGATCTAGACTGAAACTTATGAAGCTAAACTAGCCACCTAATTGAGCTGTATTTTGCTGTCTATAATAGGAATTTATAACATATAAATCAAGTACTAAAGATAACGATTCAATAAAAGTGTCTAGCACATATTGAATATGTAATAAATGCTTACTTATTTTAAAATATTAAGTGAAAAACTAGGGATGCAAAGCATTACTGTCGTCTGGTATAATAACATCTAGATCATTTTAAACACAGAGAAAAAAAGACTGAAAAGAAATTCACCAAGATGTCAAAAGTGATTGTCTTTGAGTGGTGGGTAGCTATTTTTCTTCTTTCTACTTTTCTGTATTTACCAAGTTTTTCATAATGTATACAATCAGGGCTAATTTTTATAGTAAAAATATATGAACTTTATTTAAATAAGGAAATCAAAAATTGATAAGTCACAGGTACCGTATAGTTAGTGTAAGCAATTCATCTTGTTCACTGTCACTGAAAAACCTCAACTTTCTCATATATTAGGGACTTTGCTAGAACCCCTAGGTGTAATCTCTTCAACAGCAGGAACTGTGTCCATCACGTTTTTAAAGTCTTCTTCCCTATCAGCACACAGGATCATGTCTTGCATGGGCAGACATTAAATAAATGTCTGATTTGAACTGAGAAGGAGAAAAGACTAATAAACAACTACCTATAGACCAAACTAGAAAATTCATTTAGTAACAAAGGCCTGAGGTGAATAAAAGACGACAGCATGCAGTTTTCTCATCTAAAAAGAAATACGGCTAATTGCACCTACTTCGTAGGGTTGTTGTGAAAGGTAAATAGATACGTAAAACTTCCAGCATAGTGGCTGCATAAAGCAGACAACCATGAGTCACTTTGATGTTATGACAAAGGATTAAGCAAACCCTTTACTCAGTTTTTCTTCACAACCTAGGGACCTTCATTGTCTGCTGGCTGCCCTTCTTCTTGACCCACATTCTCAATACCCACTGCCATGCATGCCACGTGTCCTCAGAGCTCTACAGCGCCGCCACGTGGCTGGGCTACGTGAACAGTGCCCTCAACCCTGTCATCTACACCACCTTCAATGTCGAGTTCCGCAAAGCCTTCCACAAGATCCTGTCTTGCTAAAGGAGGAAAAGAGGAAACATTCCTCCTACCTACGTCTAGCTGCCAGGCCACTGGGCCACTAGCCAGGACCTGCTCAGAAAGACTGTGCCATGTCTTCTGGCATATGGTAGGAAGAAGATTCCTGGAGCCAGGATGGCCCTGCGTGGCATGTACAACCAACTGCTTCCTCCAAAGCAGAATGTTCTAACTCTCCAGCGAAAATCTGACTTCATTCTGACAGTCTTCAAATGGTTGGGAGGCCCCCGATAAGCAATAATCCAGAAAGAAGCTGATAAAACATGACCCTACACACATAAAAAATTGTCATTGGAGGCTCGATTCACTACAGTGAAGGAGAAATGAACAGATCTCATCCATTCCCAACTTGCTGGGGTCCCTGAAATCTCAGCCAGTGAAACACCTTGCAGAACAGCCAGTCTCTCTTCCTTCAAACCTCTAATTAACTGTCAGGCTAACCTTGTACTTTTGTGGGCCTATTTGTACTTTTGTGTAATTTTTTGGTCACTCCTTTCCTTCACTGTGTCCTAAAATATGAATGGCCAGTGCTTCTACTTCTCCATAGAATCTGGTTGGGTACATTTGGTGAGGGGGATTCCTCACCCAAGGGGACACTGTCCCACATTGGGACCTGTGCTTCATTTCAAACCTTGCTAACCTTGTATTTTAGCTCTAGCTGAGAAGGCCCCTTGATTCCATTCCTTACTTTCTTGAGGTAATCTCAGAATCTCAACTTCTAGAGTCATTCAAGATGGGGATGTTAACTGAGGGAGGAATGGCAATTCCCACTGCAGTATCACTATTGAACCTTGTGGTTCATATCATGCCTTAGATATGCTTTTTGTAAGACTATAAGGTTTTCCTACCCAGGGCATCTCCATCTTCTGCTTAACAGAGACCCATTGCCTTCAGACTCTGAGACTCACTAAGTACTAAGTGTCTGCAAAGGGCCATTCACCTCCCCAGATTCTGGATATTTACCAATGAGTGAGACTGCTCCTGCCTTCAAGGAGCTCACCGTCTGCTCCGATGTTTGCCCATGTACTTGTCTAGGGTTGGTAGGGACTCACCTACTGCCAGAGGACCTCAGAACTGAGGGCTCAAGGCAGGGTGGCTGTCCAAAGCCATCACATGAGCAGTCTTTGTAAAGTCCTAGTGCAGATCCTAAACATCACCATTCCAACAACTGAGATTAAAGGTATAACAGAAATACTTGCAAATATCATTCAAAACTGCATTTAGAAGAAAGTTGAATATTCTCACCATTTCCCTTTTTGCCTACAGAAACTATTGATCTCAGAATAAAGATAAAATTTATGGATGACTTATACAACATTATCATCATGAAATTCAATAAATTTACTTTTAAGAGTTTCTAGTGTATAGGCATGACAGATACCTACTACAATGCTATTAAAACTTTAAAGTGCACAAGAGCTTTACAAGGAATCCAGAGCCTCCCTTGCACCACCTTTATTCCTCTAACCTTTAAGTATATAACAAGGAAATATATAGTATTTCCTTAGTATCCTGTTACTCCTGAATGCTGTTAATGCCAGCATTTTTAAATGTTATTGTTTATAATGATGTTTATATTGTAAAATGGTGGGGAAACTGTCTGCCCTCTAGTTCTTGTAACTTGTGCCATCTAATTCAATAGTTTTATGGTGCAAGCAAAGCTGGATCTCGAGACAATTAAAATCTGTGAAAGTAAAAATGCATGATTCTCAGCTTTTTCCATGCAAAATAGACAGAAAACAGGTGAGACAGTGGAGTAAAGTATCACAGAATTCCTTCTCAAAATCAGAGTTCTGAAGGTAGAAACACAAATAATATTAGTATTAGAATATTTGTGAGGAAGAATAATTACAAATATTTTGTATCCTTTATTTACATCAAGCATTCAACCTTTATGATGAACTTAGGGAAGACAAACTCCATTTTATAAATGAGAAAACTGAGGCAGGTGAAGGTTAAGAAATCTGCCCCAGGTCACACACAGTATATGACAGCTAGGGTTCAAATCTACATCTGTCTGATTCTCACACCCATGCATTTGGCCACCTCAGCACACTGCCTCTCGCCAGGGAGGTAGAAGGAAGGGAAGGAAAATGTGGGAAGAAAAAGATGAACAAAAATCCCTGGAGAGCCTTACCCTACCCTGTCCTCCAGCACCTCAAACTTTCCTGAGAATCCAGCCCAAGACATTAACCTCACTCTCCTGCCATGTTTAGTTTCTAAAATAGTAGCATGGGAAATCCATATCTATTTTTACAGAATCATGGAAGATAGCCTTTAGAGAGTATTTAGTTCTACCCTCTCCTTCATTTACAGAAAAGGGAACTGAGGCCCAGAACTGTTGTCCCCCAGTTGATTAATGACAGACAAGCACTCAAATGTCTGAATCCTAGTTCAGTGCTCTTTCTACTTTGCCACACTCCCCGAGAGCTCTATAAAAACTATAAACTCCATACAGATACAAGGTGAAAGTCATATTAAACTGAGAGGCACCTCTTCTCTAGGCAATATCTATTATCCCTTATCTTAGACAATATCTCCTGCCCAGAATTTTCTTCTGACCCAGGAAGAGCTTCCTAGAGCAATCCCAAACACATCTCCCAAACACTCACTTCAGCCCCTTTATCCTGAGACCCTTCACTCTACCTCCCCTACAGTTCCAAGCATGAACCAGCACACTTAACCTCAGGCTCACTTCTTTCAGAGCCAGCATGGCCAAAGATGCCAGGAGAAATGTTGGCCTGAATGAAGAAGAGCAGAGTTCTTGAGGCAAATCTGTTCTGGAGCCCAGAAAAGTCTCGTAGTTGCCCACACTATTTGGGTAAAATTCTAATAGTATGGAAATCTAAACGGATTACAACCAACATTCAACTCTACACCTTAAGTAAATATTTCCTTCTTCCAGGACGCCATCCTCTACCACTCCCTCCATTACTCACTTAACAAATCAAGCGCTTATTCAGTTAATATTGATTTGATCACCCTTTGTGTGCCTTGTGCTTGGTGCTTGGAAACTCCATTGAGGAAGTTATGTCCCTGCCCCTAGAAGCTTGTTGTCCAGTAGGAAGATAAAATTTATGTGTACAGTGATGACCTGCTTGTGTCTATAATAAAGAAAATTCACGGTGTTTGACAGCCCACATTCACCCTTGAGAAGGCTTCCTGGACAAGTACTGTTAGGGTTGAGACATAATAAAAAAGTAGGAAGGATATTCTCGGCAGAGTAGGCCTGTGAAGAACTAAAGACAAGAACAAGCAAGTACTGTAGTGGACTGAATTATGTCCCCGCAAAAGTCACTGAAGCTTGAATTGTGATCCCCAAGTTTTATGTATTAGAAACTTAGCCCCCACTGTGACTGTTAAGGGGGTGGGAGATCCTATTATAGTCATTGAAAGATGGAGCCTTGAAGAGGTGATTGGATTGTAGGATCTTGCAGTAGTGAATGGATTAAAAATGGTGGTCAGGGGAGTGGTTCTGAGGGCTTTATAAGAAGAGGAGAGTCTGTCTCTTTCTCTCTCTGCTTCTACCATCTTATAATGTGAGACCCCTGGGTCACTGTCGCCATCACCAGATGAACTTTGGATTTCCCAGACTTGGAAACTATAAGCAATAAATTTCATTTTCCTTTATAAATCACCCAGTTCCATGTATTCTGTTATAAGTAACAGAAGCGGACTAATACAAGGACCATGCAGGGAATTTCAAATAATTCCATCTGGCTATAGAGAAGAGGCCATAGGGATAGAACAGGAGGGGAAAGAGCCTCAGTTTTGAAGGCCTCTTCCAGCTCTGTTCAGGTGGCAGCTGAACTGAGGGTGACATTTCTTACAGAAGACTTCTTCTATATCTTGCCTCCTTCCCGCTCCATGTGGACAACACACACCACAGAGCATACACCACTACTTTATCTCCTCTGAGCTACACTGTATTTCAACAAATGCAGAATTCAATTTGAATTCTTTGCTCTTTTCTCTAAGAGAAGAGGAATGAGTAGTTGAATGGATGTGGAGTCAGACAGAAGACTTCTTCTATATCTTGCCTCCTTCCCGCTCCATGTGGACAACACACACCACAGAACATACACCACTACTTTATTTATCTCCTCTGAGCTACACTGTATTTCAACAAATGCAGAATTACAATTTGAATTCTTTGCTCTTTTCTCTAAGAGAAGAGGAATGAGTAGTTGAATGGATGTGGAGTCAAAGATGATTAAAATTCAGGCAGTTCAGAGACTTTGGGTCAGAAGCCAAGGGAGATCAGGCAAAGAGATTTTTCTAAATTCTTGAGTCAGAACTGAACAGAGAGATAGAAAGGTTAAGGAATTCACTCAGAACTGGCTGTTTCCTGGAGGTCTCTTCTGACACAAGAAAACTGAAAATGCTTAATTTGAATCAATACACAGAGAGCAGAGCAAGGATGACAGGCAATTAACTTGATTCCTCTTTTCTACCTAATTGTCTCCTCATCAGCTTAGGAAGGGAGTGAGTTTCCATGACTACCTCCTGACACAGAGACTCGGTGCAGGTGATGCCCATGTCAGCTTGGCTCTGCAGCACACACTGGCAGAGGTGGAACCCCACAGTCTATGCCAAGCACAAGACCTGAGACTTCATGCGTCCCCCACCCTCACCTCGATTAATCACCCCGTCTCCAGCATTGTGCATTGAGTCCCTGCTTTGTGGAGTCTGCTGGGTATTGAGAGGAGAGGAGTTGTGGCTGTGGGCCCCAGAGAGGGGGCTGGGCTGAATCCGAGGTAGCTCTGACCACCTTACAGAAATGACAATGGACAGAAGCAAATCAAGGGCTGGAGTTCCAGTGCTAGCACAGACAAGTGGCCTTGAGCAAATGGTTTAACCTCTATGAGGATTAACCTCAGGTTCCCTGTGAGTAAAATGGGTGCCTGAAGCACTGGCCTTCCTTACTAGACTATTTGAAGATTAGCTAAAAGCACATATTAGAAGTTTTCTTAGTCCATTACTGCTGTCATAACAAAATACCACAGACTGGGTAATTTATAAATAATAGAAATTTATTTATTGCT